TCAGTGCAACAACGTCCACCCTGCTATTTTGAGTGTGCTAGCACCAGCTGAGCTACCACAAGTCTGTCCATAAGAACGGCCGTACCGGGTCAGACCAAAGGTCCATCTAGCCCAGTATCCTGTTTACCGACAGTGGTCAATGCCAGGTGCCCCAGAGGGTGTGGACCTAACAGGCAGTGATCAAGTGATCTCTCTCCTGCCATCCATCTCCATCCTCTGACAATCAGAGGCTCAGGACACCATTCCTTACCCATCCTGGCTAATAATCATTAATGGACTTAACCACCATGAATTTATCCAGTTCTCTTTTAAACGCTGTTATAGTCCTAGTCTTCACAACCTCCTCAGGTAAGGAGTTCCACAAGTTGAATGTGCACTGCGTGAAGAAGAACTTCCTTGTATTTGTTTTAAACCTGCTGCCTATTAATTTCATTTGGTGACCCCCAGTTCTTGTATTATGGGAATAAGTAAATAACTTTTCCTTATCCACTTTCTCCACATCACTCATGATTTTATATACCTCTATCATATCCCTCCTTAGTCTCCTCTTTTCCAAGCTGAAGAGTCCTAGCCTCTTTAATCTCTCCTCATATGGGACCCATTCCAAACCTCTAATCATTTTAGTTGCCCTTCTCTGAACCTTTTCTAGTGCCAATATATCTTTTTTGAGATGAGGAGTCCATCCAGGTTGGGTACCATGCTCTCAGCTGCAGTGTACACATATTCCTAGGTTTCCACCAGATGGCAATCACAAAGCCACCTAAACCCCGACACCCTCTCCCCTCACAGCTAACGAGCAGCTCGGAGCCATAGCTCAAGCCTAAGCCCCAGAGGCCCTGAAGTGGAATTTTCAAACTAGATGGAGGAATGACTCTCTCACCAGTGGTCCCTGATCCTGTAAGTGTGCACCCCTCATACCTGAGGGGAAAGCAATGGATGTGTTATTCCTTGACTTTAGCAAAGCTTTTGATACGGTCTCTCACAGTATTCTTGTCAGCAAGCTAAAGCAGTATGGGCTGAATGAACGGACTATAAGGTGGATAGAAAGCTGGCTAGATCGTCAGGCTCAACGGGTAACGATCAACGGCTCCATGTCTAGTTGGCAGCTGGTATCAAGCAGAGTGCCCCAAGGGTCGGTCCTGGGCCCAGTTTTGTTCAATATCTTCATTAATGATCTGGAGGATGGTGTGGATTGCACCCTCAGCAAGTTTGCAGATGACACTAAACTGGGAGGAGTGATAGATATGCTGGAGGGTCGGGATAGGATATAGACGACCTAGACAAATTAGAGGATTGGGCCAAAAGAAATCTGATGAGGTTCAACAAGGACAAGTGCAGAGTCCTGCACTTAGGACGGAAGAATCCCATGCACTGCTACAGGCTAGGGACCGAGTGGCTAGGCAGCAGTTCTACAGAAAAGGACCTAAGGGTTACAGTGGACGAGAAGCTGGATATGAGTCGACAGCGTGCCCTTGTTGCCAAGAAGGCTAACAGCATTTTGGGCTGTATAAGTAGGGGCATTGCCAGCACGATCGAGGGACGTGATCATTCCCCTCTATTTGACATTGGTGAGGCCTCATCTGGAGTACTGTGTCCAGTTTTGGGCCCCACACTACAAGAAGGATGTGGAAAAATTGGAAAGAGTCAGCGGAGGGCAACAAAAATGATTGTGGGCTGGAGCACATGACTTATGAGGAGAGGCTGGGGGAACTGGGATTATTTAGTCTGCAGAAGAGAAGAATGAGGGGGAATTTGATAGCTGCTTTCAACTACCTGAAGCGGGGTTCCAAAGAGGGTGGATTGAGACTGTTCTCAGTGGTAGCAGATGACAGAACAAGGAGTAATGGTCTCAAGTTGCAGTGGGGGAGGTTTAGGTTGGATATTAGGAAAAACTTTTTCACTAGGAGGGTGGTGAAGCACTGGAATGGGTTGCACTATTTGACCTCCTGAGGTCCCTTCCAAACCTGATATTCTATGATGTGTCAGACCCTGCAGCAGGGAGGTTGGATGCAGACTACTCACATGTGGGTGGTGTTGTGCAGAGGCCTGAACTCTTAAGTTGTCTAAGATAAAGTCCAGCTCAGAATGTTACATGAAAAGATAGAAAAACTGATTTATTCCAACAAAAAAAGTCTACTTATAGCACCAACGGATTGTGTTGAGATTAAGGCAAAAATGGAATCAGAAATTAATAGACCAACATTAGACATTCAGAAATGAGGCCTGATTGGCGGACAAAATAATGAGGAGATGGAAAATAATGAGAGGCTTAGAAGATTAGTGGGATCAGAACACTAGGTTGCACTGAAAGAAACAAGCTTTACCATTGTGGCTGACACCCCCACCATCTCCTGGGACCTCAGGATCCATTACACCATTGGACCCTCACCGTCCTGATCCTGAGAGAGCTCCTGACTAGACCACAGCAGGAAGAGGGGACTGATGATACCTCTACCAGTGTTAGCTAACTCCCCAACACCTTGAATGTGAGATTTGAGTTCCTGTTCTTATTCCCTCCCTCATATGTCATTTTCCTCCCTGTCACGGACTCACAGATCGTGCCCACTCTTGGCCCCGTGTGCCCACTCTTGGCCCCGTGGGGGGTGCCCCTTTCAGTGAGACAGCCCTTCTCAGGGGTCCACTCTCTCTAGGGGTCAGGCCCCTCCACCTCCTGGAGCCGCACCTCTCTGAGCCTTAGCACGTCTGTCTCTGCCGTGGGACCCCTCAGGGAGTCCACTCGCTCTGGACCCCCGGGGCCTCCACTCCCGAAGGGGTTGATGCAACCCTGTTCTCTAGACCGGAGCGACTCTCAGCCAGCATAAAACAGGAGGATTTATTGAGAGTTGAACACAGCACAGGAAACTTTCAGGGCCTCAGGTCTGGCCTCCCTCAGCACATCCCAGTCTCTCTGCATCCAGGTGAGCTCTGCCTGCTCCCCCTCTCCAGCCGAGAGCCCCCCTGCTCCCAGCTGGGCATCTGATACCCCCCGCCCCGCCTCTGTCCACTGTCTTCTCTCCAGGGAAACAAGGTCATAAACTGAGGCCTCCTCTCCTCGCTTCTGTCCTCTGGCTGGAACCAGCTGGTTAGGTCACTGTGTCCTCACTCTGCAGCCCATTGTCCACCCACTGGCCAGAACTGGCTGCATCTCCTCAGCTGGGCCTCTGGGTCACCAGGTCACCGGTCACTGGGGTATCCATCCTCCAGGCCATTGGCTGGGTCCCCAAGTCCTCTCTCCGGTCCTCTGCAAAACACACTCCCTCTCCCCTCACCTCGTTAAACCAGTAATACCCAGGGAAACTGAGTCCCACCCCCTCCGTATGCAAACCATTGAAACTCCACAGAAAACAAGAAAACCCCCCACTTCGTCACACTCCCCACCTTATTTCTCCTCTCTCTAACTTCTGTTTAAGAGTCTGGCTTTGCAAGATTGTCTCTTTCAGAAGAGAACTGTGAGCCTGTGACCAGAAAGGCTCGTCTTAACAGCCTGATGCTGTTCCAAGTTTCCCAGGTCTCAGAGTGGCTAATGAGACCATATGCTGTGCCTATGTTTCTCTAACAGTGAGGCTGCAAGAAAGAATCAGCTCCACAGGCAGAAGCTGTGTTTTCTTTCTTTGCTGTTCTTTTCCTTTCCGCTTTTGTCTTGTCTTCAAAGAAATGGGACTAGACTTTATCAACAGCTCCAAACCCTGGCTGAGGATCACAAGTGGAGGGAGGCACCTCTGTCCTGTCAGCCAGGTGCACAAGGTCAGCCACTTAGGCATCTAAGCCCCTCTCCTTGCCATTTCACTCCTGGCTACCTTATGTCATCTCCCTGCTCTGCTTGCTGGTTTCTAAGGATCCCTTCCTTAGGCACCTAACTCTCTTCATACAATGCATAGAGAGCCTGGGCACGTAGCTCAGGGCAGAGGATTCCAATATGTGGCAGACCACCTAGGATTAGGTACTGCAACACTGAGCAGAGCAATGACTAAGTATCTTTGAGGAACCAGGCCTTAGTCTCCCCCTCAGCTGTCTGAGCCCATTCCACCAGGACTCATCACATACTGGAATGAAAATATGCCTTCCCTTAAACTGCAGGGCAGCTAGAAGAGTGTGCTTCAAACTCAACACTTTTTCTTGTTACAGACTCAATAGCCAGAAAGACATTGCCTTTGTATGGCAGATCTCATGCAGCAGCAATGTTCAGGGCTTGTTTGGCATCTACCCTAAAGCTCCCTCTTTTGTATACTACTTGTGGAATTCCCAGCATCTAAACTGAGTTAAGGTAAGCAGGAGAAAAGGAATCTCACTTCCTGATTGATTTTACCTTACCCCAAAGAGTCTGACTGTGTTTATGCTAGGGAATTCACCCCCCCCCCCCCCAACAAAAAAATGAAATCTCCCACCAGTAGTAATACCAGAATTTCAGCTGGAACTATTTGATTCCTCAAGTAGGCAGCTCTGCCAGCTTCTGGCTTTTACTAACCACAGTTAATGTGCAATCCAATTAAAAAAACCCTTATGATCCATTGCAAAAATGTTTAGTTCTCTATGGTATATTTAAACTGATTACAATGCTGGCATTCTTTTAGTACTGTAATTTTACTGAAAGGTTTCAGAGTAGCAGCCGTGTTAGTCTGTATCCGCAAAAAGAAGAACAGGAGGACTTGTGGCACCTTAGAGACTAATAAATTTGTTAGTCTCTAAG